GAGGAGGGGCTTGCCCCTTAGCTCAGTTCTTTAAGTGGCTGCTTCAACAAAGCAGTAAGGCTCAGGTGGCTGTGGTTTGATCCCCACATCTCAAGCCAGCCAAACCTGCCCTGAAGGCATTCGGAGCAAAAAAACAAATTTGGGGAGGGGGAGTCTGATTTTTTTTTCTATGTTGTAGATATTAGTCCTTTGTTTGAAGAACTGGCTTAAGAATTTTTTTCCCACTCTGTAGGTTGTCTTTCACTCTGTTGGTGATCTGTTGACCTGTTGGTATGTGTCTTAGTTACTCTTCTCTCATTGCTGGGACAAATACCCGACACTCAAAATGAAGGAAGGAAAGGTTTATTTAGCTCACAGTTACTGGAGGTTTCAGTCCATACTCAGCTGGGTCCAACGCAGAGCAGCACATAGCAGAGGGCAACCTTTCATGGTGACGGGCAAAGAGCAAGAGCGCAAGGGAGGGGCGGCAGCAGCTCAAGCAGCTGGCTTCTCTTCCCACCTTACATTGTAATGCAAATTACCTACCCCAGGGGAAGTGCAGCATCCACACCCACAGTAATCAATCACAAACTCCAGAGGCTGCCCCAAGACTGTGAGGCTTTGGGGGGACACCTATACACAAACCATAACAGTATGGAAGGGAAGAGGAATAGATCTCTTGGCTTGAGTGGTAGCCACCACCTACACTGAACCCTTGAAGTAGTAACAAGTTAAAATGTTCCACATATGTAAAATATACACTGGATTTCCATGACCTATTACAAAAATATATATATGAAACATCTTCCTGAAAATGTTCATACTGATCAAGTGTTATTTTAGATGTATTGGGTTAAGTGCATTTTAGTTTTACCTGTTTATATTTTCTAATTTGGCTACTAGAAATCTTAATATATGTGGCTTACATTTGTTACTTGGATTATATTTCTATTGTGTTAACAATAATACTGATTATGTAGAAAAAACAAAGCCATATTTGCTAATACTCTGTATATGCCAGATTGTCTAGAACTTCTATGGAAGTTAATCCTCATAAATGATATGAAGTAGGTAACTCCTTTTTCAAGTACAGTAGTGGGGTGTCGTGGTTAAGCAACATACCTAAAGTCACTGCTGCTAAGCAGGAAGCCAGGATTTAAGTTTAGGCCTCACTGGCTTTGGAACCCTTGCTTTTTCCCCCTACTGTGATGTGTTATTGTTGGACTACTTGAGTTGAAGACCCTTGCAATTAGAATAAGACTGTGGCAAAATCATAATGAGATAAATTAGGGAAACAAATACTATTCTCAGATGTCTGGTTTTGCTTTGTTACTTTTCTTGAGGGGGTTGCCTTGGTTAAAGTCCTATTTTTAAGTAGGATGTTAACTAATTCTCAAAATATCTGCTTTATTATCTCTAGATTTGATAATGGGTTGTATTAAAAGTAAGGAAGACAAAAGCCCAGCCATTAAATACAGAACTGAAAACAGCTCAGAGCCTGTCAGTGCCAGTGTCAGCCATTATGGAACAGAGCACACTACAGTGACACCGTCGTCCTCAGTGAAGGGCACTTCAGCGAACTTCAGCAGTCTCTCCATAACGCCATTTGGGGGATCCTCAGGAGTGACTCCTTTTGGGGGAGCATCATCTTCCTTCTCAGTGGTGCCAAGTTCTTATCCTGCTAGTTTAACAGGTGAGAGCCAGCTGGACGGTGATGCTGTTAGAGAACAGAACCTCGGAAAACACATGTGTCTGCTATTAAGAAAAATACCTCTAAAATAAATAGGTGTAAAAATTAAAAGTCCCGAATATTAAAGTCTCAGACTGGGTGTGGTGATGTGCACCTCTAATCCCAGCTCTTGGGAGGCTGTAAACAGGCGGATCACTGTGTCCCATCTAGCAGTGAGACTGTGAATACACTGTAGACCCTTCCCTAAAAATACAAAAAATAAAAAGTGTTAAGATAGTTGCACTTTGGTACTTGCTTGCTCTGAAACTTGTTGAATTTGGTATATATACCAAATATCTGATGTATATATACCATATATAATGGTATTTCTATATGAAAAATTTTTACCAGTAATTGTTGTTTTTTTGGTACTTGACACCAAGCTAGAATATGTCTGTGTCCATTGCTTCAAGACTCACTATTCTTGGGGCCGGGGAGATTGCTCAGTAGAATAAGCACTTCCCTGGCAAGCGCAAGGGCCTGAGTTCAATCCCCGGTTCTGCCAAAAAAAAACCTCATTATTCTTTCTGAAGGAGTGAATGGGGATACCAGGGATTAAACTCAGGACCTTGCGCTTGCCAGCAGGTGCTTATGCCACTGAGCTATATCCCTGGCCCCCAATACTCATTCTTTTAGGCTAGAGAAATTTGTTTGGTTCTGATTTTTTTTTTTTCATGATTTCATGATGGTTATATACCACTACATATACCATTATTTCATTATCTTGTTATTCAAATAATTATTGAACACCTGTTACATAATAGACACTGGGATTATAAAGATTGAAAACCTACATTTTCCCTTAAAGAGTCTTATAAATTTGTAGTATTGTACTCTGCAATACTAAAGTAATACAAAAATTACTTAATACATGACAGTTTAGTAATGATAATATAGTGTTTCTGTCAGAAACTTTTTTTTTTTTTTTTGAGACAGGGTCTCACTATTTAGTGCAGGCTAGCCTTGAACTCACTATATAGCTCAGGCTGCTCTTACACTCATGGTGATTCTCCTTGGTTAGCATTTTGACTGCTGGAATTACAGGCATGTGCCATAACATCTGGCAGATAATGCTAATTTTATTTTTCATTTTTTAATTAAAGTACTTTGTTCTAAATTATTTTGTTCTTTCCCTCAAGCTGCTGCCACAAATTCATTATTTGTTATTCATTCATTCATTCATTCATTCATTTGGTACAGAGTTTGCTACACAGCTCATACTGGTAGTGATTCTCCTGTCTCAGCCTCCCCAGTGCTGGGCTTAAGACATGCACCACCATGCCCGGTTTCAGGGCTGGCACAGCATGCGGTACCAGGGATCAAACCTGGGCCTTTGAGCTTGGGACAGGGTGTCACTGTGCAGTTCAGGCTGGCCTTGAACTCACAGCGTTCCTCTTGCCTCAGCCTCCTGAGTGCTACCATGCCAGGCCATATTATGGGTTTTTTAACCAGAACACTTGCCTTGAGTAATTTTAAACACTAGAATGTCCTGCACTTCATAATCTGTTACTTCTTCCAGTTGCACATAATAATTTGGTCGTTCAGTGTGTTCATCCCTTAAGCATCTGTAGACATTGCCAAATATGAGTTATTTTTGGACAATATACCAATTCATACCGGCCATACCATTTAATTTGAAGACAAATTTTTTTAAGTTTTTAAACTTATAAGTAAAATCCTAGATAACTATTAATAATAATAAAAATGTGTGCAAGAGGTCGAGGCCAGTGCCAGTATAGTGCTTGCTAGACCTCTCTCAAAGACTTGATTTGTAATTTAACTTTTTAAGGCAGAGATATTGCTTTGAAAGTCAAAATTAGGTTTCCTTTTTTTTTTTTTTTTTGGAACCAGGGACTGAACTCAGCCCCTTGCGCTTGCCAGGGAAGCGCTTATTCCACAGAGCCATCTCCCTGGCCCCTAAAATTAGGTTTTCTGAGTGGATAGAATTTTAGAATTTTTACAGTACAGTGGTTTCATGGAAGGACTTAGGAGAGATCTTAGTGACTCAGAATAGCAAAAGCAATCCTGAGTAACAAGAGTGAAGCAAGAACCATCACAGTTTGGAATTTGAAGTTATATTACAAAGCTATAAAGAGTGTGGTACTGGCTGGAGAGATGGCCCAGTGGTCTAAAGCACCTACTTGGAACAAGCTTGGCAAAGCACAGGGACCGCGGTTCGATCCCCCAGCACCACATGCCAGCCAGCCGCCCCCTGGTGGGCTGAGCTGGCCACACACACACACACACACACTAAATAAATGTTTAAAAAAAATTTTTTTTTAAAAAGAGTGTGATACTGACATAGAAACAGATGTGGATCAGTGGAACAGAATAGAAGAAGCAGAAACAACCCAAGCACAGTGAGCTAGCTGATGTTTGACAAAGAGCCCAAAAAACACACATTGGAGTAAAGACAGCCTCTTTAGTAAATGGTGCTGGAAGCTGACTATCTATGTGCAGAAGATGGGATCTAGACCTAGATCTCTTACTGTATACTAAATTAAGAGACGAGTGAACCCAAGATTTAAATGTTACAACAGAAGCACTTAATCTACTGGAAGATAAAATAGGTAAAACTCTTGAAGACGTAGATGTAGGCCAGGACTTTCTGAACAGAATTGTGGTTATATAGAAAAACACTGAGAATCAATAAATGAGATCCCATCTAGTTTAAAAGCTTTTGTATGGCTAAAGTAATAGAGTTAACAGACAATCCACGGAACAGAGAAAAAATTTTTCCAGCTCTCAAGTGACTAATACCTAGAATATATAAAGAACTTAGAAAAAAAGACACCTCAAAATATAAGATACAGCAACAAAAAAAAATGGGCAAGTGAAATGAATAGACACTTAGAAGTACAAATGGCCAGTAAATACATGAAGAAAAGTTCAAGCCAGGCGCAATGATGTGAGTCTGTAGTATTGGCACTTGGGAGGCTGAGACAGGAAGATTGCCACACGTTCAAAGCTAGCCTGGGCCACACAATGAGTTCAAGGCTGGCCTGAACTACATATTGAGAATCTTTGTCAGGGTGAAAAAAAAGTTCAGCATTGCTGGCCTTTGGAAAAGTGCAGATTAGAACACAGATTCCATCTCACCCCAGAAAGAATGGCTGTCAAGAAACAACTGAAAAAGCAGGGTGCAGTGGCGGTTGTCCGTAATCCCAGCACTGGAAGCTGAGACAGGAAAGTTGTCAGAAGTTTGAGGCCATCCTGGGTGAGAGTGTGAATTCAAGGCCAGCCTGAATTGCACAGTGAAACCCTGTCTCAAAAAGAAAAATGCTGGTAAAAGCTGTGGGAGATTTGGAAAGAAGAAGCTTCCTTTATAGTTGGTGGGAACATAAACTAATACAACCACTACAGAGAGAAGTATGGAGATTCCTGAAAAAATTAAAAATGGGAAGTCTATTTGACTCAAGTGTTCCCCTTCTAGATATCTTCTCATAAGATTTAAAGACACCATGCCACAGTGGTGTATGCATGCCCATGTTTATAACAGCAGAACTGATAATAGATAAGTTTTCGAAGCAGCTTATCTGCCCATCAGCAGATACAAGGATAAAGACAAGGTGGCATTTGCCCGTAATGGAATACTACTGTGCCATAAAGCAGGGTGAGCATGAGTCATTTGTTGGAAAATGTATGCACCTCAAGACCATAATGCTAAGTGAAATAAATCAAACACAAGCTTAAATATTTCATAGTTTCTCTTATATGAGAAACCCATAGTATAAATAAAGAGCAAAATGGAAGACAGAAAATAAGTAGGGAGATAGATCTTGTTCAGATGGGAAAGAGCTAGAAAAAGGGAGAGGAAGGAAAAGAAGGAGAAAAAAATGAAGATATGTTATGTACTTGGTCCAACCCTCCACGGGGTTTGTAACGATTCTGTACTGCTGACATATATATATGAGAGACAGACAGACAGTACACCAAGAAAATGAATATCTTATTAACTCAGCTCAAATCCAGCTGCCCAAAAATTGAGCTTCTAAAAATTGAGGCTGAAGACTAGGGAGCTGTTTGCTTTTTTGCTGGCAGTATTACTTTATTTCTTTTTATATAATATCTGTATAACTTACTTTGGTCTTTTTTCTTGTGCTAGGTGGTGTTACTATATTTGTGGCCTTATATGATTATGAAGCTAGAACTACAGAAGACCTTTCATTTAAGAAGGGTGAAAGATTTCAAATCATTAACAATACGTAAGTGTTGTATTTTGTGAGAGGAATACAGAAACCTTTTCTTTGCATTTAAACCATTGAGCTAACTGATAATGCAGTTAGCCGATAATGAAACTCAGGCTTGGGTCTCTGTCCCCTGGGTTGGACGGTCCATTGGCTTCCTGCAGTACATGGCATAAGATGACTGCAATACGCAGAACTACTCATACAGATTGTGCTACATTGGTTTGACCATGAAGCGTGGAGACTGAAGAATAAAAAACTAGTTGGAAGAGGTATATGCGAAGTCTGATAAAGAGGCTTCTGTGTCCTTATGTGAGTAGCAGGTGATTTAAAGATCTCTCGCCAACCAAGAATCCTGGGGCAGGCTAGTAACCCCAGTATTATGGGAAACTAAGGCAGGATTGCAAGTTTGAGCCCAGCCTGGGCAACTTGGAAATCATAACTCAAAATTAGAATGAAAACAGCTTGGAAGTATATAGCTCAGTGTCAAATCCCTGGGCTCGATCCCCAGGACCAAAAACATTTCCTTTCACCTAAAAAAGAGATGGTTGTGTAAGGAGCCCTTGTATCCCCAACCTGACCACATTTAATTGCCTTTTCTTATGTGACTCAGACTTTTTGTCATTACTGGCACACCACAGAAAATGTGATGTTTGTTATGGGGGAAAAAATTCCATAATTTTATTAGGAAGCATAACAGCCACTTTGTAACTTTTAGTATATATACTTGTGGGCCCTTGCTTCCAGACATGTTTCCCTCTGTCCTGTTCTCTTCTGTTACAGTTAGCACCCCCAATGTAGAATATGATCAAGTCTCTGCTTTGAAACCCTTCAGTAGCTGCCAGTTGCTATGAAGATAAAAGAACAGCAATAATAATCCTAATTCATTGAGAACCTACTATGTGCTTCTTACTCTCCCACTCTGCCATACTGAGGTGCTCACAGTTTTCTTAGTCCATTGGGGTTTTTCACCCTCTCTGTACCTTCATAGACATTATTTCCTTTTTTTCTGTCTTCTTCCTATCTCTCTCCTTCTTTGTCTGTGCTGGGGATCAAACCCAGGGCCTCATGAATGCTGGCAAGTGCTCAGTCCCCGAACCCCTGTTCCAGCCCTTCCCGTCCTGTGTGCCTTCTCAGTGACGCCTTCGCCTGTAGCCTCCCTTACCTGGCTCTGTCTCTGTGCCTTATGAGTGTTTCTCTAAGTGCTCACATGACACCCTGTGCATGGGTCAGTCTTAACTCCCCTCAGAGTTTTATTTGTTGCTTGGCTTGATTGACTATAATACTAAGGGTTGTAATTTGTCATTTGGCTTGTCATTATTTTCTTTACTTATTGCAGTACTGGGGATTGAGCACATGGCTTTCACACTGAGCTACATCCCAAGCCCTTTTATTTTTTGTGTTGAGGCAGGATCCTGTTAAGTCCCTGTGGCTGGACTTGAACTTACAGTCATCCTGCTTCAGCCTCCTTACATGCATGCACCATCGTGCCTTGCTTTGTCATTCTTTTGGACCATCAGTTTTCAGCCTGGGACAAAATCACTAGGAGATGTTTATCAGAGTTGGGCGCAGAGGTACTGCAGGTTGTCAGTCAGGGTGTGGTTTCTGTCATGTAAAGCAGCTAAAGTGGGTGGAAGCTAGGAGTATTGGTAAGCGTCCTACTAGCCACACTGCAAAGTTTTACTAAGCCCAGACTGTCTGTGCTCCAGAGCTTGCAAAGCCCGGCTCTACACTGTGAACCCTTGAGTTAAGGATGGCTTTTTAACCTGTTTTCTGCACACTTGGGTATAAATTCTCACTTACCAGGCTTTCAGTTTGATGAAATCAGTGGATGAGTCAGTGGATGCTTAGTAGGACCCAACACAGTATCTTCTGATTGTACATCTGAAAGTACTTTATTCATACTGGGAAAGCACAACCCAATATATCCATCTGTGAATTATCAAAGGATTTCTCATTTCAGTTTTTAGATAGCAGATTATAAAATTTCAATTTAGATAATATATTTAATCTGAAATACTGAATTAGGTATACATACATCTTTTATAAAAGATTAAAAATATTTGTACTTGGGCCAGGGAGATAGCTCAGTAGAAAAAGCACTTGCTTATATATTACAAACCACGTGCAGTACTCATGTTTTGAATTGCAATTGAATTTTAGTCTTACTAAGATTAAGATGTTTTTGGTTATCATTTTTGTACATATGCCTTATTCTAAAATTCAGATTTTGTCATTTGAGTGGTTATAAGAGTGTCAGTATAACGTATTTTTTCCTAAAACAATGGAAAAAATTATAGATTATGTATTGTTAAAAAGGATTGTGCCAAGAAAAAGAACCAACTACTAATATATGCTTAACATAGATGAACCTTGAAAAAATTATGCTAAGTGAAAGAAACTAGTCACAGAAGCCCACATAAATGATTCCATTCATGTGAAATGCACACTCTAGGCATGTTCACATGGACAGCACATTAGAGATTGTTGGGGAGGTAGGTTGGGGGTGACTGCTGATGAGTAAAGGGCTTCTTTTAGGGGTGATGAGAATATGCTAAAAGTTACCATCATGGCTGTCAAATGTACTAAAAACCACTCTTGAACACCTTAAGTGGAGTTTTATGGTAGCAGATTCTGTTAAGAGATTACAGATGCAATCAAAACTGAACAATTTGAAAGAGTTCTGATTATTCACTATAGTTGATCATCTTAGGTTGAAAGAATTACTTAAAAATAATGTTACAACCAGGTGTTTGTGTTGTTTAGGGGTTTGTGTTGTTTGTCTGAAGAAGTATGCAATTGTGAAGCCAGGCATGGTGGCACACGCCTGTAATCTCAGCATTCAGGAGACTGAGGCAGAAGGATCTTTCTGAGTTTGAGAGCAGCCTGAGCTACAAGTGAGCTCAAGGCCAGCCTGAACTACATTGCAGTTGTACTTTCGCGTCATGTAAAATTTTGTTTTGAAATATTCTCCTTTGAGTTTGATTCTTGATCAAATGAATGCATAAGTAAGAATGGAAGTAGTGTCTCTTGTTTATGCTTCAGATAGGCAGGCAGCATGTGTGACACACTGCTGTGGGCAGTGGTGTGCAAGTGGTAACTGTCGCTTTGTGTTGCAGGGAAGGAGACTGGTGGGAAGCACGCTCAATTGCAACTGGAAAGAACGGTTACATCCCCAGCAATTATGTGGCGCCTGCCGACTCCATTCAGGCTGAAGAGTATGCCGACACCTCATGTTTTATTAATTCTTTTGACTTTAGAAATGTTTTAATGCACATTCCATTTAGCCACAACTTTACACACACACAATTACCAGTCTTACTACAACTAATGTATCATCAATAGATGTTACTTGAGAATTAATAATTAATGTAATAGTATCCACTTAAAGCAGTATCATAAGTGAGTGCATTAATCATGCTATTATGCCTGGTCTTTCTCCTCCGTCCACTAATTTTTAAAATTATCCTTTTTTTTTTTTTTTTTTGAGTAACCAGGGATTGAACTCAGGCTCTTGTGGTTGCCAGGGAAACGCTTATTCTACTGAGCCATCTCCCCGCCCCATTATCCCTTTTCCTATTCTGCAAACTCACTGAAAATTTACCTCGCTTAAAACTCAGGTCAGTCCTTGGGACCTGTTTCTGTAGTAGCATGTCCTTGTCTTCTGGTAAACATACTGAGAGATCTTCAGGGTCACGGCTGAGAGTGTTGGCAACTTTCAGTTATAGAAATAAAGACATGCACACACACAACATAAATGGGGAGGGGGAAAGAATATGGTGAAGCAAAATGCTAACAGCTGGGGAACCTGGTTGCAGAGGGTGTGGGGTTCTGAGGGCTGTTCTTGCAGCTTTAAAAGAGTCAAAGATCACAGCCAGTGACACTCATTTTAGGTACAATCAATTTAGCTACTCTAACAATACAGTAGTTGTTCATTGTTAATAAGAACATATAATTTGTCTGAGTAACTTTTCTGCCAGGACATTTGTTACTGTGTTCTTTCATCATCTTCCCCAGTATCCTGTCAACTGTTTCTCTTCTGGGAAACAGAATCAGCCTTTTTTTCTCTAGGCTATATTGAGTCAAAGCCATGCAAATTCAGAGTTTTTTATAATGTAGGTTGTTACTTGTATCTTCCTGAACATGGGGGGGGGAGGGTCACACTGTTATCAAGGAACTGCCCCTACTCTTGTTACTATAGTTTTAATATTTCCTTGTGTCCTTGACAGAAACCATTATTTGCTGCCTTTCCTTCTCTATTACTGTTCCTATGACTCAGAGTACTGCAAGAGACCTACTGAGTAGTGAGGATGTGGAAATGCAGAGCATATTGTAACAGGGCGATTTGTAATGCTCATTTTTAGCAAATAAGAATTTATGTGGGGACCTGCCCCTTAGCTCAGTTCTTTAAGTGGCTGCTTCAACAAAGCAGTCTGGCTCAGGTGGCTGTAGTTCGATCCCTACAACTCAAGCCAACCAAACCTGTCCTCAAGGCATTGGGGGGGGGATCCTTCTGCCATCTGGGGGCCCGCCCATTAGCTCAGTACTTTTAAGTGCCTGCTAAAGAAAGCACTGAGGCTCAAGTTGCACTGGTTAGAACCCAGATACTCCTTGCAAACCAGAAATGCCCTGAAGCCATGTTCAGGCCTCCCCCCCCCAAAAAAAAAAAAAAGAATTTATGTCCTACTATACTTTAAGCCATATTCTATAGCTGTTCTTTCTTGCGCTCTCTACCCTACTCCATTTTTATTGATAATTCTACATAAGTCTTTTGACTTAAGACTTCCCAGTTCAAAATATCATTAATTTTTTCCAGATGGTATTTTGGCAAAATGGGGAGAAAAGATGCTGAACGATTACTTCTGAATCCTGGGAATCAACAAGGCATATTCTTAGTAAGAGAAAGTGAAACTACTAAAGGTATGAATGTCAGTACATGAATACAAGAGTATAGTTTCCTTGGGCAGTATTTTGAGAAAGGTCAAGTAACATTGTTTCTTCCCCTAGGTGCTTATTCCCTCTCTATTCGTGATTGGGATGAAGTAAAGGGTGACAATGTGAAACACTACAAAATTAGGAAACTTGACAGTGGTGGATACTACATCACAACCAGAGCACAATTTGATACGCTGCAGAAATTGGTGAAACACTACACAGGTGGGTAAACATTTCCACAGTAATGCTACTTTCTCTGTTTGTGAGAACCAAGTCTGTGTCTTTGTATGGGCCCAATAAATATGTCTAGGTTTGTTTTATTTTTTTGTGTGGGAGGTGGGTTCTTACTATGTACAGTTTAGGCTGCCTCAAACTCTTGTCTCAGCCTCCCCAAGTGTTGGGATTACAGATGTGTAGCACCATACCTGGTCTCTATTTGTAAAATCAGGAACAGACTTATTAGTGTCTGAATTGAGTTATTAGGTAATGTGCCAAACTGAGATAGTCACTAGAATCCTTGTAGCCTACTCAAACAGTGTTTACATTGGAGTCCCATCTCATAAATGCAGAACGTGAAAATGAATTAAAAAACATAAGAGCAAAGTGCTTATTTATGGACACTTACTAAATAGGTAAAACTAAGCACTTACTATTAAAAAGCTTCGTGAGATGTCCTCTTAATCTTCCCTTACAGATGGTGGATCTCATAAGATTTCCTAAAGTATTAGCCCAATGGAAAAACAAAACCAAAAAGCAAAGAGGAGGCTGAGGCAGAAGATCACCCAGAGTTCCAGCTCAGCCTGAACTACTTAGTGAGTTCAAGGCCAGCCTGAAATAATATATAGGGAGACCCTATCTCCAAAAGCCCAAACAAAACAAAATAGTAAACCAAATGGAATTTGGTCTGAAGGTACATTTTGTTACCCTTGAAAATTCAAGGATACAACGATAGCAAGTATAGACATTCTTACCTTTAAAGGACTTTTGAATCTCAGAATTTCTCTTTACCAATTTGATCTATAAATGCATCTATAAAAGTTTTTAAATGGTTAGTAGTAGAGGAGAGCAAGTTTCCATGGTGCTTTCTTCTTTTCCTTGACAGCTAGCTATAGTGTATCAAGTCAGCCAGCAGTTGACATTAAATCAACATGTTCCAAGTGGGCTATCTTTGTCATTGTCCTTGTTAGGATGTGACCTTGTGTGGTGGCTTGGTGAGAATGGGAGGGCATGTGTCTCCCAATAGTGCGCAGGTCAGGCCATTGTGAACCCGGGGCCCCCTACCTTTGTGTCTCCCTTATTTAAAATTCAGTCCCCAAATGAATGCCTACCTTGATTTTCAGTGTCTCACAAATTGGTGGTTAATGTTAGAAATAACAGCATTTCCTTAAGATTAAATAATTCCCAGTGTAGAAAGGAGAATTTTGTACACCATCTCACCTGAGCCTGAATCCACCACTTATTTGTATGAAATGTTTGTAAAGTGCTGAATTAATCCAGTAGCTGGAACATAAGTATTGAGTACGTATTACTGTAGAAATGTCTTTTTTTTTTTTTTTTTTTAATTATTTGGTACAGGGTCTGCAGAGTGTCACTCCGTAGATCGGACTCATTGTGATTCTCCTGTTATTAATCTCAGTCACTGTCTCAGTGCACCCCCCAGGGTGGGGCTGGCAGGGCGCTCTGCTGGGGATTGAACCCTGGCTGCTGTGACTTTTTTTTTTTTTTTTTTTTGGTAGTAGCAGAGATTGAACTCAGGACCTTGCACTTCCAGGAAAGCAATTATTCCACTGAGCTATCTCCCCAGTGAAATGTCTTTACCAAAATGTTTTGCTTTTTTTTTTGTGTGTGTGTATGGTAGTAGGGACTGAATTCAGGGCCCTCACACTGAGATGCATCCCCAGCCCTCTTTTTTTTTTTTATTTTTGAGACTGTCTCTGGATACATTGCCCAAGCTGGGCTCAAATTTATGGTCTTCCTGCCTCAGCTTCCCAGAGTGCTGAGGTTATTATGCATGTGTGCCACTGTGCCTGGCTCTTACAATGTATACTGCTTTGTTTTCCTCTCATAGATAGTTCTGTCTTTGTGGTTTTTTCTTTGAGACAGTGTCTTGTTATGTAGTTCATGCTGCCTTAAACTCACAGTGTAGTCCAGGCTGGTCTCAAATTCAAAGCATCCTCATGCCTCAGTCTCCCCAGTGCTTGGATTATAGGCAAGCACCACCACACCTGGCTGGATTTATATTTCTGCAGTAAAACTGGTAGGACATTTTAGGTTTTTTCCTTTTTCTATAATTTAAAAAGGTTTGCAAAACAGTGTAGGGCCAGGGATACATTTCAGTGGTACAGTGCCTGCCTAGCAAGCATGAGGTCTTAAGTTTGATTCCCAGTACTAAAAAGAAAAGAAATCTATTCTGTATTTGTTTTTTGTAAGGAATTTATGTTACAGTGTAGTTTATTCATTTATCTAGAACATGCTGATGGTTTGTGCCACAAGTTAACAACTGTGTGTCCAACTGTGAAACCCCAGACTCAAGGTCTAGCAAAAGATGCTTGGGAAATCCCTCGGGAGTCTTTACGACTAGAAGTTAAACTAGGACAAGGATGCTTCGGTGAAGTATGGATGGGTAAGAAGCCTGCATTGTTTGGAGGAAGAGGATGGTTTTCTTGTCCACAATTTATGATAAAATGTCTAAGTATTCAACTGCTGTTCATTGAGGTTTACCCTGAAAATCTTACAATATAGATTGAAATTGTTTGTCTCTCTAGGAACATGGAATGGAACCACAAAAGTAGCAATCAAAACACTAAAGCCAGGGACAATGATGCCAGAAGCTTTTCTTCAAGAAGCACAGATAATGAAAAAACTGAGACATGATAAGCTTGTTCCACTCTATGCTGTTGTTTCTGAAGAGCCTATTTACATTGTCACTGAGTTTATGTCAAAAGGTACGTACGTATGCTTTAGTGTCTCTTAGGGTACTTATGGTGATAAGTTATTTAAAAAACAAGATCCTCGTTGTTGTTGTTCTGCATTTAGTACAGGGGATACAGAGTCTACAGGGTCTCACTAGGTAGATTGGACTCGTAGTGATCCTCCTTTTTTCAGCCTCCCAAGTGCTAGGATTACAGGTACACCACCACACTTAGTCTCAGCCATGCCCCAGGGGTGGGGCCAGCATGGCATGCTGGGGGTCAAACCCTGGCCGCTGTGCTTTGCTTAGGCAGGTGCTTTTGAATCTAGATTTTGCAATTGTTTTGAATCTAGATTTTTACTGCTTAGTACTTTCCTTTTTTTTTTTTTTTCTTTCTTCTTTGCAGTATCCAGGCTCAAACTCGGAACCTTGCACTTGCCAGGCTGGTACTTATGCTGCTGAGCTGTCTCTCCAGCCCTGCATAGTGCTTTCTAAGTCAAGATTTAGTTGACATTTAAAAAGAGGAAATGTGACACTGATGGGATAGTAAGGGTTCCAGGTATTCATGAAGCTATCATAAAGGTTAAAAAGACAACGTAGGCAGGCTGAATTGATTTGGGAAGTAGGTTTGACTAAAGGAAATGAAATAGCCAGGGGTATTGAAAAAATAGAAAGTATACAAACTGAATTGAAATCATAAAGCCAGAAAGATACTTATATCCTCAGTATTAAAATAAAGAAGTAAAGGAAATAGTTTTATCTCATTTTACTATAAACCCAGTCTGATACTCTAGAAACTTCGTTTTTTTCCACTGTTGCATTCTCCCAAACCCAGAGTGCTAGGTAGGATTTTCAGTAGTAGAGTTAAAGGCCAGGAGAAAGGGAAGACTGATGCTCTTCCCTCATCTCTGGGCTGATGATACTTCAGAGGAGGAGCTAGCAAGTCTGAAGGTACATTCACTGGCCCAGTGTAACATATTTTGAATTGAATTTTTTAATTTACCATTGTACTTGGTTAAATAAGACTGAAGTCATAGGTTATGTCACCCTCTCTATTACATAGTCTATCTTGACCAGTGATGTAATTTCATCTAGTAGTGACAGGTATTACAAACTACATATTTACTGTAGAAAAAAAAAATTTTCCTGCACAAAGAACTAGATAGGACTAAGTGATGCAGCCTGTTCATTGGTAGCCAAAATACTCTCAAGCACCAGAGTGTGTAGCAATCTTTGGAAGGAATTTCTACTGCAGATATGCCAAGTGTGCCGTTTCAAAGAGTGCTCTGAACGAATTGGGATGAGAAGGGAAAGGGGGACCAGGAGGAAATTTAAGTCAAGATATTGGAACTGGGAGAAATATAATGAAGCCTGGGCATACCTGTAACTGCAGCCCCTTGGGAAGCCAAGGCAGGAAGATTGCAAGCTTGATGCCTACCAGGGCAACTTACTAAAAGCCTGTCTCAAATAAGCATTATGCTGGCCATGATGGCACATACCTGTAATCTCACCACTCAGGAAGGTGAGGCAGGAGGATTTCTGTGAGTTCAAGGACAGCCTGGAGTATGTAGCAAAACCCTCTCTTAAAAAAACAGTAAAAATGCAATAGCTTAGTACTCGCTGTGTTAAATCCCTAGTACCACATCACAAAAGAAATTTGATTGGGAGACATGGTCAAATTCTATGTTGTCAGATCGTTGAATTGGGATTACTTTCAGGTGGAAAATCAGACTACATAATAGAAGTTTTTCTAGCTTTAAAAGTCAGTACTTCCCATTTTGGTATTCAATTACTTAAGCAGTTGGTTCCCTAGAATCCATCAAAACTCATTGCTTCAAGCAATTCAGCACTAACCCATTGCTCTCAACACATAGATCTTCTGGTTGCTTCTGGCTTCTGTAATTGATTATGTATTACGTGTGTACATATGAATACTTTGTGAGGCCTGGAGGTCAGACCCAAGGCCTCCCTGGTGTTAAACCCATGCTCACCTGGAGCTACATCCCGGCCTACCCATGATCATTGCTTTCACCTGGAGTTTGGTTTCCCTGTCTCTTCACCAGACTACCAGCTGCACTGGCCTGGTCACTTGTTACATTGTGTTGCCATTTTCATCTAATCTGGAAATGATAGGGTCGGGAGATGGCTCAGTAGGATAAGCGCTTCTCTGGCAAACGCAAGGATCTGAGTTCAATCCCCAGTACCGCCACCAAAAAAAAAAAAAAAAACTGTTCTTCACCTTTTATAGGGGTAGGATCTCTCATACATTGTTATTTTTTGAGAGTGATCCAGTTTATTGCTTTGTAAAATGTCCCTTTATTAGGGTTTACTTGTTTTCTGTTGAATAAATTCAAGTCGGTGGTATGCCTTTAACCAGTTATAGAGAAGCATCAAATAGACTTCTTCTGAGCTTCTCATCTGCTGTGTTCTTAGTCTGTGGCATCTTCTAAAATTGAAAGCCATTGGTCAGGCCAGCACTGCCACTGTATCCCACTTAGCTGTGAGCAGTTGTCAGTTGTCTGAGTTTTTGATTCAAGTAAACTTAAAAATATATAAGTATCTAATACTACTTTGTGGATCAAAATTAGAATCTTGATCAGAGCAAGGAAAGAATGACTCCAACCTGAGTAACTCCAGCTCTCCAACGAAGGGAAGAATACATTTTTCCTCTTCTTCATGTGTTGTCAAGGTTCCAGATTTTCAATTTAAGGATCTTTGGTGGAATATTTAAGATAGCTATTCAGGAATTTCAGAACAACAGAAATTTAAAAATAAAAAGCTGAGAAATTGTACATCATAGTAGGCTAGTTTGTTTTGAGATTAGAATATTTGTTTCAACCAGGGATCTAACTCAGCAGCACAGCACCTGCCTGG